AGACCTAGGTTTGTCAATTGCGTTTATTTTATTTGCTATCAAAAATAAAAAAAAACTAAATTAATTTCTTTATTTAGGCGTAGTCGTAGCCCTAGCCCTGGTCCTGGTCATATTCGCAATCGTAGTAGATCCAGAGTAGATTATAGAAGATATGACGATGAGGAGGATAAAAGGCGTTCTAATAGATATTCCCGTTCAAGGTCATATTCTCGTTCATCTTCTGAACGTCATAGAAGGTTAGAACAAGTTAATGGTCATCCTAAATCTCGGTCTAGATCTCCTGATTTCCCGTCGACGTCAGAAATGAAGGATGAAACCACATAGTTCTACTCTTTTTCACTTAATGATTTAGGTTTGATTATGATGATGATTATTATAAAGACGCGAATCTTCTTGTTTGAAGCATTATTTCTATGGATTACCCCATAATGGTTTTATGCAAGGTTTGATACAGAAAAGTTTGTTTAACTTTCTACCTTCTCTCTCTCTTTTTTTTTTATGTAATTCCTCTCAAATTATATGGCACGAAAAAAAGTTTTTTTTTTAATTGACATTTTTGGCATTCCTTTCTAGTCTATTAGGTTTAATTAATTATACTCTTGTTTTTCTATCTTGTTGTATTGTTGTAAATTTGAAATCACGAAGATAGTTTATTACCATTTTCGGGTAGAATATTATGATTTCAAGGATTTTAATCGTTTATATAACTGACTGCATAGATTGTTTTCATAATGAATTTAAAGAATAGAATTAAACAAGATTTTTTTATTTTAAAGAAACTTCTTAGAATATTATATATATATATATTAGTAAAAATTTGGAAGGATTATACATTAATTAATGATATAGAACAAATTAGAGGAATTTATGTTATTTGAGCTTTCAAAAGTTTTAAAAGATTTGATTTCTTTCGAACCTATTGCCGGATATCTCTCCAGAATCTCAAGATCGATTGTTTTTCTCTTCCTGCTAAACGCGATAGTACAACCTTTGAAATATTATTTATTTATTATTATTATTGTAAGCTGAATTTCTAAGGTTAGGTATAAATTTACCTTTGATTGTAAATTATAATCATTTTTCATCGTTTCGCGAATTTCATTTGGTTTATTTTCACTTATTAATAGAAGGTAAAATACACCTTTATCTGATAATAATTCCTGCAGTAATAAAAAAATTTCAAATTTAATTGGCTAATCATAAAAATGGATAAAGTAAAATGTAAAGATATACTTCACATCAACTAATGGTAACATCTTATCGATCACTTCTCTCCCATCAATTCCACCAGCCCATGCTCTCTCGATAACACTTTTTGATGAATATAATTCTTCAGAAGTTGTAACCACATAAGGTGGATTACAACATATTATATCAACGGAATGATAAAGTCTTGGTAAAAGACCATTTGCTAAGTTGGTGGTAATCGACTCTAATTGAACCTGCTTTTGGTTTTAGTAAAGAAATTGGATGAAATATTCATTTCATTAAAGTTAGGTGAAAGTACCGAATTGTTGTATCCTGTCTTAATAGTGATATAACTGGCATATGGATTTATATCTGTACAAAGCAGCACTTAAAATTACGCGTAATTTTGATGATTTTGATCAAAAAGTATTTATATTACGTTCTTGTAAAAATGAAAGAGATCTTGCTAAAAAAAACCCACGTGCTTTGCCGTCGCCAAGTATCTTCCCAAGGAACGTTGATACGCACCCAGTTCCTGACCTAATGAAAAACATTTTTTTACACATTCGATATTATATTCTTACACAAGATCTCTTTAAAAAACGTACCCAATTTCTAAACTTATACAAGGTGCGATTTCATTTCTTAAAAGTTCCGCATCTTTTTCAAGTGCATCAAGTAACAAAAATGTATCCTCTGACAAATGATTTTTTAAATTTGCTTGATTATCGTTTCATTTGTTTTATTTTATTATTATCTTTTATTTTTTTTTTATTAAAAAGGGAGGCCTACCGGCAGGTTCATACACGTTTTCGTAATCTTTAGAAGATATGTGATCCAAGTTTGGAGTTGGTATCATGATTTCGAAATGAATAAAAATAAAAATATGCCCCCTCCATTTTTTTAAAAAAAAAAAATCTACCAATACAATTGCTATATTTAGATCACGTGATAAAATAGTAATCATTGCTTATTTTTTAGAATTACAAAAAATGTCTGCTCAAAATTTGAGTCGATACATAATAATTTAGAATTTGTATCTATCAATATCATTGGTATTGGTGAAATAAGATCTGCTTCACTTCTAATACAATTATTTATTGACACTGCTTTATAATTTTGAAAATCTTTGTCAGATAAATGTCATATATTTGCTTGTGTAAATAGATTCCTATGCAAAGCAATTCTTTGACATTTCTTGCATTTCTTGACTAATAAAAAAAAGAAATATTATTAGTTACAACTACAATATGATATTTAAAGTTCTATTTCCTAATAAGAATTTCAGAATTTGAATTATTCACAAAAAGGCGAAAATTCAGACAAATATACATCTTATATATAGTGCAGATTGCAGAAAAGTTGCCAAGTAAAGAAAAAATTGTCAACAGACGTAGATCACTTTTTGAAAAGAATGATCATCAAGGGAATATATGTCTTGAAGATAGTAGAATTAGATCATCTATGACCTTGAAAGTAACGTCAAATTATTAACAAACATAGATCGCTTATTGAAAAATTGTCATCAAGTGAATATACATCTTGAAGATTAAAATAACAGAACTTGAATCATTATGTCACTAAATAACAAGGCTAAATACAAAACATTTTTGAAAATTTATCATAAAATAAATATACATCTTGAAATTAATAACTTATGAAAATATCATTATAGTAATACCTAATACAATATGTAACAAAAAAAATACTTTTCTTATTTATTCAATCAAGAAAATTCCATATTGGAGAAGACAAAGTTTTTTTTTTTTATTTCTTTCTGAAATAAGCAGATAACCGTTAATTTTCTTTTTGAATACTTTTCTGTTAATAATAGTATTCTACAATATCAGTTTTGTAAATATCATATTTTGAAAACTTATAAAAGTCATACATATCACTTTTTTTTTGTTATAGCTTTTGTAATCTATAATAAATAACTCATACACATTCATTTGAACGCATACACTTTCACCTTTAATAAAAAAAAAGAAAAGATATCAATTAGTTAATAAAAATTTCTGCAGAAGACTAATGATTCTGTGATTATGTGACTTTTATGAAACTTATTCATTTTATACAATGAAGATTATATTTTTTTTAAAAAAAAATTTGTCTTTATATATGAAATATTCATTAATATTGAGGCAATACAAAAAATACAATCAACATAACAGATAAACAAATAAGTTAAATAAATTACAAAAAGCTCAGATGCGTGATTAGAGCTTTTAGATAAAATTTTAATCAGTTATTATATATTATCTAACAGAAAAAAATGTTTACTATATTAGCAAATGTAAGACAAAATTTAAAATATGACATGTGAACTTAAAATTTTTTATGAAAGTAGAACTTAAAGCTTAGTGAGAAAATTAAAATGGAGAGATTACATATCATACATTGCTCAAGATAATAAAAGAATTTTGCAGTTATGAAATGTTAGGTAGATCTTTATTAGATCCTGTATGCATTATGGAAGATAAAGTGAGAGAGAAAATAATCAAGAGCTTTGTTTAAAACATAGTGCAAATTGAAAGTTTATATAAATCAAATAAGAAGAAAAATATATAAAAAAAGGTGATTTTGATTATTTTTATGGAATTGTTACAATAGCTTGAAATTAATACTTTTATTCTATACTTTTAGGACTATTTCTTGAAGTAGTGAAGTTTCTTTTACCATTGAATTTAAAAAGTTTTAGAGATTCAGATAAAGAGTGATAGGAAGAGAGCTAAGTTAAAGAGTTATCATTTGAAAAATGGTAATCTGTTATTATTAACATAGAAAATTTTATCATGTATTTTTAGATCTGTACACAAATTTAGAAATAAAAGTAATGTATTATATATTGTTTAATTTCAATATATATTGTTATAGGAAGATATTAATCCAAAAGATCATGTGACACACATGACCAAAAAGGCATATTGACTGCGTTATGTTAAATGACGAAGACAGTGAAAACGAGAGAAATGAATTAAATAAAGATTACGCAAAAAACCCAGAAGTCGCAGAAAATTCCATTATATTATTAATCATTTTGTATTATTAATCATTTATTATTTATAATCAATTAGTATTTTATTTATTTATATTAGCAAATTTAGTATAAATAGGATAGCTTTAAGGTAGACAACTTGGAGTAGCAATAAACAGTAGTAGATAACAAAAGATAATAACTTGTAAACAATTAGAATTCAATTAGTTTTTATCACCAACAAGATAAATACTAATAACAATTATATGCTAACAAATATAATTGTATCAAATTCTTTATTCCTTAATAAAATCCTAAAGTTTATTCTAAATATACCTTATTATTTGAAGTAATAATTATTTATAAACCTTTTAGAGCTCTTCCTAAAAAACATTGAATAAAAGCTAAACTCCTTTATTAATCTTGCGTTAATACTAATTTTTAGTTATTAGTATCATAAGATAACAATATATTTTAAGATTATAAAAGATTTCTAATTATTATGTTAAATAATATTAATTTGCATTAATAAAAAGCTTTCACAATAATTTTATCTGAAATATTAATAATCACAGTTGAATTTAATAATTATAATTTTCAATTTATTTAGTTCTCAAAATTCAAGTTAGCTTTATTGTTTACAATTTTACTAAATTTTATTTGGTTACTTCTTTATACATATTAAAAAAAATAAAATAAAAAAATCTAATTACTAAATAATAATAAATTATCATATTATTTATTATTATTATTAAAAATTTTACCTATTCTGATTAAATTATTATTTCTTTTTAAAGAATTAAAGCTTTAAAAAATCCTCATTTATCCTATCCTTTTTACAGATATTATTAATTTAGTATCATTAATAACTCTTTTACTTGTTGCTATATTGCTTAAATGAATATACTCTTGTACTAATTAAAATAAAATTGGAAATTACCTTTTATTTACATCCTACTATTTTAAAAGATCTTGATCATTTTAAATTTATATAATTACCAAATACTTTTTTTAATTTTATTATTTTAATTTGAGTATCATAAAATTTATCATTTGAAAATAAACTTTTTTTTATAAACTTACTTTGATAAATTTTTTTAATTTTGATTCTTTTAAATATTAGTATTATTATTAATACAGTCACACCTCGATATAACGAAGTTGCCGATCCAGCCGATTAGGACTTCGTTATAAGAATCTTCGTTAACGCTA